TCGAACTTCAATTTCCTGATTAAGGGAAAGAGTGGCCCATTTTCTCTGAAGTAAACTAAATCCAACAGTTCCTCTGGGTACTTCATGATGTCGTTTTATAGTAAATACAAAGTGATGATTTGGTGCAGTGGTAACTTCAATGTGCCTAAAAGATACAATTATGTTAAACTTCATATAATCTGTCAAATAAACTAAAATTATAAATTTTATTATTCTTTTATTGCCTTATTTGTCGATTTTATTATTTAAAACCTTACATTTTATATAAATATATAAATATATATATATTTATATATATATTATATATATATATTATTATATATATATATATATAAGCCGAAAGCAGCGTTCACACATTTCTGTATTTTCGCCGCATGTTCAATTCCCGAACAAATGAATTAATGGTTCAGTATAATATGTAATAGCTGTTACTACAGTTACTACTATACTGTTACAACAGCTTGTTCAAACTATAATGAATCAATCATTTGTTGGCTCAATTGTTTTTTTGTCTAGAAGCATATACTTACGTATGTTTCATATCCGTGTATACGATGAAATCACCGATTCGGTCGCATTCGACATTTGGTTTTGTCGATGTATGAAGTGATTCGGCAATAAAACCGAATCGGCCGATACATTTTCTTTATCGTACTTATAGAAGAGTCATAGAGGAGAGTGCGTATGAATCGTTGAAAATGGCGAAAATAAATGCGGAGTTTATGATATCGTTGGTGGAATAAAGGCCCGCTATATGGGATAAAAGATTAGATTCATATAAAGATAAAAATTTAAAAGAAGCATTATGGTGAGAAATATACAATTTGTTAAAAGAAGATTTTGATAAAATTAATAGATAAGCAAATAAATTTTCCTAGAGATGAAAAAGAAAATCGTTATATTTAATTTTTTAAAAGTCCTTTGTTATCATTACATATATTCAACAATAATGAAACTTTAGGATTTCAAGTCAAAGTTATAAATTTAATACGAAAAATAAGAAAATATATGCATATGTGAATAAATTATAGAAATCAGAACTTGCATCGACATAACATATCACCTTTGTTTTAATTGTAAGTCCAATCATTGAATCCAATCATTCAATTACGGATTTAGATCTGATTGCTTGATCATATATAATGATAACAATTTAAAAATTAGTCTTAACCATGCAATCATTTTCTCTTCGAAACTAATGCTTAGTCTCATAGTTGTGTTCTGTTTTGTTAAATCTCTTCCATGCTTTTTAACAGATCATCAAAAGCAAATATTCATGTATAAAAATAATTAAAAAATTTTATTTCATCCCTTCTTAATTGAGACATGAAAATTTGATAGGAACCCAATTGATATATATCATTTTCAATAGAATATATCTTCCGTTGATCCTTTTTTTGTGACATATTGAAAAACCATGAAAAATTCATAATAAAAAAATATTCACGTCCATTTTGTCAGACTGCAAATAACAAAATAAACAAACAAAAGTAGGAAGTAAGCATATGCGTGAGAGTTAGATTTTTGGTGAAGGTACAGAACCGTGTGAACACTGCTTTCGATCGTTACCAACTCGGTAATTGGGCCAATTCATTGATTTGGTACTTATAACAGTCACATCAGACGATACGGTTTTTTGACCAATTCGATTTTACCGAATTAGTAGGATCGATCAAAAAACCATATCATCTACACTGGTTGTTATAGCTACAAAATCAATGAATTAATCATGGGATGATATCTTTACCTGACATCATCTGGGAAATCATCTGGATTGATTATAGCACAATTTGTAATGCTAAGTTCATCAGTAGGACACCTTATTGCCTTCATTCTCTATGAAAAAAGTAAATTTTACTATTGAGAAAAGGAATCGCACTTATTGAAAATATAGTATGTCACTTTACAGACTCATACGCAAGACACCAGACTGACAACTGATCGGACTTTTAGTGGTGGAGGATTCCGCATTACGGCGCTGTTACGGAACTCCGAGAAGCGCGCGCAGAGAGTAATAATATGTTATATTTAATATCAATAAAGGAATAAATATTAGGTAGGGAATAGTATTAACAATATTAATAATATTAATAAAGGAGTTAGTAACATCAAAACGATGACATCCTCCTTCATAGGACTCTCTTTTAAACTCTTTCTCTCTTCTTTGCCTTTACGTTAAATTCGTTCGCTGAAAATCAGATTTAAACTTCCTTCTGTTCCGTTCCTCTCTTTTTTCTTCTATCACTATATATTTGACAATTGGTTGGAAACACCTGCGTAACCAGTTCCAAATTACATTTTGAATTTTTGATTGTTCTGGAGTATGCAGTTTGGTATTTTTCTTAAGATCTTAGCTCTGTATTAAAAAGATTGTTAATCAATTCCTAAAGTGTTGGAAAAGTGTCGAAAAGTAAAAAGCTAAAATAAAATGGAAGGAGCCGATGTTTTGCACGTGGAAATCTGTCAAAATATCGACAGGTATCACCTTCGTAGTTCTCTTTTTTACAATTAACGATTTTGTACGATTACGATAATTTATGTTTCAATTGGAATATAATTCTTTTATCAACTTTGTGCGCTATATTTTGAATGTTAAATCCATTATAAATAATAATATTTGACTTTCAGCACACTTTCTATAGAAAAAATAGAGAATTTAGTATATGCTGAAATAAATGCATTAGAGGATGTTGCTTTAGATATCATTATGTATGGAAAAGACCTGACAAACTCCACTTTGCAGACTCATATTGATTCTATAATATGCACTTGCAGTCATGGAGAGGTAAAAATTTGAAAGTAAATTTAATTGCATACACAAAGAGCGTTAGTAATACGAACTTTATAGTTACAGAGAACTCACATGAAAGTGCAAGGAGCTACTCTAAAGTTTCATACATATAGATTAACCACAGAGTCTGCAGCTACGGAGACAATGGAAAATGATGGAGAAAATCTTCCAGCCTCATCCCACTGGATATTACCATCACAAGAATTTCATTATTTATGGGAGAGCCTTTATTTTGATTCCAATATAAAGGATAACGTTAGTTGAATATCTTATAATTAGCTCAATTTTTCATAACACCTGAAAATGTTTTGTTTCTTTTTTAGCTACTTCACTTTGTGGAAACAGCAATGATATTTGCAGATCATAATATTAATACTAACATCATAAGTTGGAACAAAGTGGTACTATTACATGGGCCACCAGGTACAGGAAAAACTAGTTTATGTAAAGCCCTTGCTCAGAAGGCTGCTATTCGTTTAGGTAATAGATTTACACATGGCGAATTTATTGAGATAAATAGCCATAGTTTATTTTCAAAGTGGTTTTCAGAGGTAATATTACAATAACTTATTAAGGAAATTTTTTTAATTAGTAGATAATAAAATTAAAAATATTACTATTTGCAGAGTGGCAAATTGGTTATGAAATTATTCAATGAAATAAAAAGTCTTTTAGAAAATCCGCAAGCATTAGTTTGTATCTTGATCGATGAGATAGAATCCCTGGCGCATACCCGGAGAACTTGTAATAACGGATCGGAACCCGTTGATTCCATAAGAGTAGTGAATGCTTTATTAACGCAACTAGACCAAATAAAACGATATCCAAATATTTTAATTTTAACAACTAGCAATTTATCAGAAGCCATTGACATAGCATTCGTCGATAGAACAGATATGAAGCAATATATTGGACCTCCTTCGCATCAAGCTATATACAAAATTTATACTTCCTGTCTTAAAGAATTAATGAGGGTAAATAAATATATATGTTTTCCTATTCTGTCAAATATACTATTTTCATTTTTTTCAGACAAAACTAATGGAACCAGAAGAAATTTATGATTTATCATGCTTAAAAAAGATGGGCTATGAGGAAACATTTCAGACAAAGAACAGTCTTAAATTAATGGAGCTCAGTCAAGAGAGTGTGAACTTAAGTGGACGTGTTTTAAGAAAAATACCATTTTTAGCTCATGCTTTTCATTTGAAAACAAAAAAGTGTACTCTAAGTCGATTTTTAAGAGCCATGCACATAGCGATTGAAAGAGAAAAGGAACATACAGAGGAGGTATTTTAAGAGGTATTTTTCTCTAATTCTTGGACTTTTTTACTTTTTTAATGTACTTAGTCTTAACTCAATGAAAGATTTAGTATTATATTTATTTAATGCTTTTCATACCATACATTGCTTTTATGACATAAAGATATGTGTGCATTTTATTTAAATCTTTCTAATTTTTTATTTTCCCTTCCTGTGAAAACTTTTGGTAACTGTAACGAAGGTCATCGAGGTCATTAGAGTGGAAACTCTCGTAAATAATGATTCAAAGGAGAACAGCTAAATTTGTATTACTTCAGAGATATAAAATTCTAGTAAGACATCATTCTAAATCATAAGATATAAAAATACAATCATTTATAGTAAATGTGATGGGAAGGTTGTAAAAAATGTAAATGAGGTTGACAGCGTCTCGAAGTACATTTAATACGTTTCATTTGGTTTTAGAAGTAAGTTATAGAAGTTATTAGAATATTTGCTCGTAATACCACACTTTAATTTGTCGCGTTTTGTTATTAATTAATAATTTGAGCAATGTGTTTTTACGTGCTATATAAGTACCGACTTTTCTTTACAAAATAGCATTCGAATTTTTGTATTTCATGCATTTATTTCGAAGTTATAATCTTTTGAAGTCAGAAAGTTCCAATTCGTCTTTCAAGACACCATTAACTTCATCTACGTCTTTTACAGCTTACCCATCATATTTGTTCTGAATTATGTATTTTAATGATACCTTCAGATTTATAGAATGATCTCTTATTAGAATTTTAATTATCTAAAGGGGTACAAATTTGAACATTCTTCTTTTCAAATTACAAAGTTCCCGCCATATGAATCTCGATATTACTTCGATATCGAGGTGCGAAGCATTCGGTAGTCACGACCTCTCTAGTTTCGTGATAGGCTATGGTAAACGGTGCGCCATACGGTTGCGATCAATGCAATCAGTTGTTGCCGGGCTGTTGAACGTATTAGTGGTGTTCTTCGTTCGCGCTTTTTTAATTTGATTGTCGAGACAAGAGCCAAGTTAACTATCGAAAGAATAATACATTGCAATTGTACGCAATTTCTCTGCGTTTCTCGCATGTGAACTTGACAGTGTATTTTTTGTTCTGTATTTTATCGAAGTTAATGTTCTCAGAGTGACAGGATTAAGTGGAAGAATGTTGGATCGCGATACCGCGATACATCTCGTCGCCGGAGGGTGGGTTTCTCATGTCTTTTTCCTTTATATTAATTTCGACATTCATTGAATTTAGATTAGAATTAGGAACTTGTATATAACAAAATAACAAATTAAGATAAGGAACTTACGTCGTAGATTGACGCCGGCTATTTCGACGAAAATTATTTATTAACAAAATAGATGTACATGCGTTTTGCGCAGTAGTTATAATTTATAAAAATATTGTGCGCTTCTGGACAAGCGCATTCCTAGAAATTTCTATAGAAACGTGACTCAGGAGAATTCCGTAATGTTGAATGCTGCGACATTGTTCGCCGGCTCGCGGTTGTTACGTCATTCTCAGACTAGCTCGTGTATGTCTTGCTTATGCGTAATTGATCGCTCAAATTTAGAAGCTACGATGTTATTTTCGGCCTGTGTCAGATAATTTTTCACGACTATGTTGAGTCTCGCTGCGATGTATATCATCGAAATTCCTATCTAGATCGAAATAATATCGCTCTTAGTATAATACGCATTATAACCGGCTTCTCAATGAGGGGTACATGTTTTTACGACGAATCTACGTATGGCTTTCTCAAACCGTTTCTTAAACGTTCTACCATTTGCAGTAATATTTTTACGAAAATATTTGAGCACTTATCAGAGAATTTTTTTTATAAATATACTATGTGCATTATACGAATCTTTTTGAAGTTTCGTTAGCACTGTAATGAGACACGACTGTCATGATTTCAATAACAAAATTTGAAACTAATCCGTAAATATATGTAAAAGTCTCAAAACATTTATTACAGATGTACGCATATTAGAAAGGTAGTAAACAGCATGAATAAGCAGATCTAAGCAAATAGTGCTGACGATGTTCTCACTATATATTGTGGCCTATTGATATAGTGAGTAATTGACTTTACAAATATTTCAGAAATCTTTGTGAAGTATATGTTTCAAGTAAATATATTGTAGCTATATACTATATACATTTATATATACTTCTATATACATTTTCAGATCCGTTATCAATTTTACCAATATAGTCACGATAGTCGTGTCTAGTTAGAATGCTAATGAGATTTCAAAATGTTCTGTCTAATTAAAAGTCACTGAGCCTTTGTATATGAATTCATTAAACTTTATCGAAACTGAATTCGATTATTCAAGAATTTTTGTATTTAAAAGCGATACGTCTCGTTTGTTGTGTGACATATGAATTACAAATTTAGGAATATGTTTACATCCTAATCATAGTGTGCGTTGATAATTGTAGAACACGTCTTGTTAACATAAGTCAATCATACTTAGTAGAAAGTTTTCGACCAAACGATTAGCGTTACAAATTTTTTTCTCATTTACACTATGCCAACTCTACTTTTTAATCTGTTTTAAATGTTTTTAATTAGTTTCATTTTATTACGTTTGATTGACAATTTTGTACAGGTGTAGTATATATGTTTCGCTTGGTGCGTAATAAATATATGAATTATCAATTTACAAACATATTGATATTTTAGTGATATAATTCCATCGAATAATGCTACAAATAATTTGTCATCATATATACATACGTATTAACATCGTAGTGTTACATACATATATTAGACGAAATGTCTGAGAAAAGATAGTTTTTTACGTATACAATTTTGTCCTTTATTTCAATTTATCGACCTTTCGTATCAATTTCCTGTTGATCTCTTCATTCATTTCTTATTAATTGGATTTTTTGTTTCACAGAGTGGCTGGGACGACCGGTGCGATAGTTACCTGCCCTTTAGAAGTGGTTAAAACTCGTTTACAATCTTCCTCATCCGGCTTCTATCCACCCCCGGTGAACAAGGAACTCACTTCGGGTCATGTAACGTGCAAAAGTTTCCCGAAACCGGAACAGAGGAGAAGACTGTGCACTGGAGGGTATACAAGGTAACTTCATTAATACCTCTGTATAATTAATTAGATTTATAACGAAAACAATTTATGACTGTTGTTCTTTTAGATTATTTAAAAATGTAGATCAACTTTAGATTAGTATCGAAATTCGAATTTGTTTTCAAAATGAAGAGCACGAATTGATACTCGGAGCACCGATTCCTTCACGAAGCAACAAACCTGCTTATCGTTATTTCAGCGGATCATATTTCTTCTCGTCTCATGCCTGTCTATGTTATACATTAGCTAATTGCGTTTGAAACCCTGTTTACTTCGTCGGGACATTTTGAATTGTACAATGATTGTGACATTAGAGAAGATGGGGCATGCAAACTAAATTTACGTGATGTTCGAACGTGTTCCGAACACGTCCGAGATGGTCCAGCGCTGATGTTCAACTAATTCCTGCATTCGCGGCATGCCTGGTTAAAAATAAAGCCTCGACCAAGTATATGCGTCGCGTTGTTGATTCTAGAAATCCTGACAAGTGTGTTCTTCTCAAGGATTCAAGCTTCCAATACTTCTACATTAATTTTCAATTTTTTATAGAATTAATTGATTCACACTATTGCCCATAAGTAGATTGCAGATATTCATGCAATTTCATATTTTTATGAATATACCTAAAGAAACAGAATCTAAATGCTTGTTTGTTTATTAAATATTACAACAAATAAATAAGTTTACTTTAAATACTTCGGATATTTTTATATGTTGCAAGCATTTTGTAGATTTTTTAATCTTCCGCAGTCTAGCCATAAGTATTAAATACTTTCCATTGCTTTCAATTTATATTTATTGTATTATCGTCTAGTCTAACTTTTTACATCATTTGTATCATGCGTGTCATATAATATAAAATACTAGATATAATAAAACTTGATAGGGTATTTTTAATAAATACAACGATGTCCTGTACTTTATGGTCGGTAGTGTAGTTTAACTCTGTACATGTTAGATTAATTTGTGAGGCGAGAAAAATATGAAAATATCGTTGAAAAAGCTGCGATGGCAGAACAGAATAAAAATGAATGTAACTTTATTTGTATGTTTAATATTTAATCGAAGTTCACCATACTGATTCCAGGCACGCTTTGGTTGCTCTCTCTCACTTTGGCGCGTCCTCTTCTCCAGGAGGTTCTCCCCATAGTCACTCCGCGCCTGGTGTATACCAATGCATCAAGTATATCGTAAAGAACGAAGGTACTCGTGCCCTGTTCAAAGGATTGGGCCCCAATCTCGTAGGAGTCGCACCATCCAGGGCGATCTACTTCTGCGCCTACTCGAAAAGCAAAGTCGCGTTTAACGCGATCTTCCCCCCGGACACCGCTGTTGTGCACGTGTTCTCCGCATTCTGTGCCGGTAAGTTTATCGTTCTACTTCCGTTCTTATCGATCAGACTCGTATTTTCATCGGCTCTGCTGCAGCTTGATTCCGATGTGATTGATTTTAGCTACTGCTGTGATGTAATGTATGTCTTAAGCGGAGGAGGAATGATTGAGAAGCGTTACTTGAAAGCTCGAATGTGTTGTGCGTTACAGATGATTATATGAATGATAATTTGATAGATCACAAATAGGTATGTTGCTACAATGCCCGCACAAATGGGATTATTAAGGACTATTTTATCGTTTCAATGTATTTTCGGATGAAATTTCTTTCCATTCAAATCGGTCTTTACGGAGCGACTTTTTTAAAGCACAGTGCTATACAAATTAGAAAATTGACAGTACCATCGACGTTGATCGTTTTCCATCGAATCAAAGAAACCTTTGGCGATTTACGTAGTGGAAAATGAAAAGAGCAAGTATAATGATTGAAGCTCAAAATTGCATCTTTGAATAGAACGAAGACGAATAGCTGAGCACAGAAATAGATGTATGTATGTATATATGAAGATCTAGCTGAGGCATCGGCCGACCAGGCACAATGCATTAGGATCGCGTAGTCTGTCTCTTTTCTCTCAGAACAATCAAGGCGTCCACTGATAAGGAGCTCAGTGGGGTCATGTCGCACGTCACTCGTTGTTATCTAGTTGAATGGACTGCCGTAAATAACTGGTTCCAATCATTGCTGTTTCTGATCTCTTCTAACGCGATAACATTCGATTTTGTATGCTTGATAATTCACATCGTCTATCTTATTTAGTTATCGTGTAACAAAAGACAAAATCCTTGCGAATTTGTGTCCTCGTGGAATCTCTCGAAATACTTACACAGGAATTCTTATCATCAATTTGTTCTATAAACGTTTGCATAATATAAAGTCAATTATCTGAATGAAAATTGTTGTTTGACATTGATAATATGATAAATTAAGCGATGTTTATTTTAGTTCTCAGAAATTGTGATGAGTAATTGCAATTAATTGAAGAATCTGCTTGGCTTGCTTAATTGGCAGATAACTCTTATCCGGAAAGAACAGAACTTCATGTGCCAGATTATTCTTTTGGATACTAATTTCTCTGCAGGGGTGCTGTGTGTAACACTCACTGTATCCAACAATCCACAGTAGAGCCAGTAATTAATAAAATTGGTTAAACAAGAAAAGGAGCCCTATTACGGTATGTAACTTAGTTTATGCGTCTGATGGCACGTAAGCTCCTTTTCGAAGGGTCCTCCTTTCTGCTTGGTCGAAAACGTGCGGCTGATCACGTAGTCGCCTAACAGCTGATTTTTCATCAGCTGCCCCGTACCAGTGACCCAGTTTTTCCCCATTCGAAGTGACTACACAACTTAAGATTTCATAATTCGAAACTGACGCTCTATTTTTTTAATTTTTTGCATTCGTTTCATTTCTTTGATGTCTTGATTTTTCAGACAAATGGAACTTAGTTGCTTAAAGAATTCTAAAAATCTATTCTAAATTCTAAAAATAATTTTTAGAATCTTAGATTTTACTTTTCCATTGCACATTTTTCTCGAAATAACAAATATTCTGTATCTTCCTCTACTACTTCGAATCTTCTTCGCTGGATTCTCCGTTTCTGTTAGGCTTACGATCTGTCAGTCTTGCTCCTTCTTCACGATTTATTTCATCTGCGTACAATTGCATCCAAATGGCTTTGAAACACTCGCTGTTGTAATACTTATGGCTCTCATGCGTCCTTGCATCATGGTTGCATGTGACAAGAAAGGCTTAATTTGATGTTCCTGAAGTCTCATTTTCCCGTTATTTTCCCTCTAGATCATTTTCGGAACGCGATGCTTCGTGACTATGTTGCGATTTCACGACTGAAAGATTCTTGATAAAGAAAATTTATTAGTGACTGGATAACAAAATTGACCTGAATATTTTAGTCAATATAATCAAACACGGAGTTAAGTATATTTTTAATATTTCATATCTGTTTCAATATTTCATATTTATCTTATTCTTCTTAAATTTCATTTATGCTTTTTCTTGAAAAATCAAACGAAATATATCGTGTTTGTCATTTTTCTACGTAATTTTAGCCAAAATTCAACTACATCTGATAATGAAGATCACGGATACTTGGTAATGAATGCTTAGAGAAAAAGCACGGTTTATGAATTGTCGGTTTAAGTCGTAAATAGCCGACAGGTAGAGCGATCGTTGAAATTACATGGCTGTTCGATGTTAAAAATAGAAGACTGCTACGAGAACTCTCGGATCTCTTCAATGAAACACCACTTTTACCTGACTGGCGACAGCATTGTTCTCGTCAAACTTTTTATCAAGCCGCTACGCCTCTTCCGATTTTTAGTTTCCGCTTTGTATGATGTTTCTCGAGATTGGTTTGACTGCGATTATTTGGTTGACTGCGATTGGTTTGACACGCGACCGATAATGCTTCGCATACACGTTATGCAAATTTCTATTTACATCACTGGTGCATAACAAATGCGATCGTATACTTGCAGCTAAGATGTGCAACGAAATTGAGAAAGATATTGTTCAAATAGGAGCGATTATGGAAATCATCGAACGCGTATAATTGCAAGTTCGGGTGTTTTGTCAAGTATATGATCTAGTTCTAAGCTGATGAAGTTACTAGGTAGCATATTTTGAATGTTTACATGGAAAAGAAATTTTCCGTAATTTATAAATTGGTCACTAAAGACTGGGATTGTTTATTGGCCGAGTCTTGAGTTTGCAAGCAGATATTCCGTTCTATTGACCCAGTTTGTAATGACCCACGCAGGCAATCATCCCGGCCAACGCACTGTTTACCACCGGTGCATCGCTTGCGACGCGACGCGTCCGGATTACGTAAGCATTTTGCACGCGTCCTTCGAATCTTGAAATGCTATTAACCTACTGTGACACTTGGATTGGAATATGCGAGAATTAATGTATCGGAGATCTTGGTATGTTAGAATATTGGAATAATGAAGATCGAGATATTTCAATATTGGAAACGTAGGGATATTTAAAATATTTGCAATAGTGAACACTGGAATATTTGGAATACTGAAATACATGTAGCGATAATGAGGTGTAGATACAGTGGCTCACGAAAGTATTCGAACATTTACTACAGAACTTTTTTATGTATATACTATGTGCATTGTACTGCGTATATGTATATGTATATGTGTTGATATGTATAAATTTTTATATATATATATATGTACGATATATATAGTGGATACGTGCATAGTGATAACCTCGTTTATAACAGGCTGTGAACCTACAGTATAAATAATACTATGCCGTGTACAGAACTTTTTAAAACTTCATTAGCATTGTAACGAGACACTACTATCCTAATTATAATAGCAAAATTTGAAACCAATCTGAAAATGCATAAGGCCTTTATCGCAAATATACGCTCAAATGAAAAATTAGTATAGAGCATGAATAGTAGTCTTAAACGTATAAATAGTAATGAAAATGGTTTCACTATATGATATTATTATATATGTGTCTTATTAATGTGGTAAATAATTGACTGTTAACATATTTTGGTAGCTCTTGCGAAGTATATGCTTTAAATAAATATTTTGTAACTTCTATATACATTTCCGTTTCTAATTTTTCCAATATTAATCATCCAATATTAATCTTGTCTCGTTGTAGCGCTAATGACATTTCAAAATATATACATTATATGTACATAAAATATTTTTCTGAGCCACTGTATATCTGGTTGCCACGGTTTAATGTCTTTTAAATCCTGAAGTTAATATTAATATTAATCTTTCAAGTACGAAAGTTCAGCAAAACTACTATAACTGTTACAGTGCATCTTTAAGTCCAGCATCCAAAGTAACCCAAAGTGTGTCACCTAGGAATCTCGCGCTTCGAATCGATATGCGGCGGTGTTTCTAGTGTTTCCCTCGACAGTGAGATAGGTCAAATAGTTAGTATTTCTCAGATTCTGCTGAACTCAAGTATCTGCTTATTAGTACTCGAAAGAACGTCAAATAGCTGTAACATGGCATTACGCATAGAAGCAGCCTTAAAACTATCTCGGACGTCTTGACCGTATATGTACGGAAAATGAAGGATTAATAAACAAGAAATATCGTCGTAAATGTATTTTACGTTACTATTGTATTTATGAAACACGTGAAAGATGAGGACAAACTGTTGCTCAGTAAGAATTTGCTTCTTTTTTCAGATCAGCGTGAGCGTGCCGTTACGATAAGATAAATTTATAATTCGCAATAATTTACGGAAGTGTATGGCGAATAACACGCCACGTTAATCGCGTATAATCGCGTATTCTGATTCGCAACGCTGTCGGATGAAAATTGACGAAGCGTGTTTACGATGGAATCACGTTGCACTTGTGACAACGTGCAAAAGTATACACGCGGGAAGTCATCAATTGCCGGACTCCATTGGAATGCCGAGCGCTGCGTACTGTGTGCGCTAAGCGATACTTGTTTACAGCTTATTTTAGGTTATCTGTGACCTTGATTATATACCTGTGTAACTTCGTTCTAAGATATTACGTATATTCGATGAATTTAAGACAAGAAGTTCAAGGAAATTTTGCAAAGAAAATTATTGGGAATAGGGTTACTAATAAACAGAAAATTTCTGGACTTCGAGCTTTGTAAATCAAACAATTGGAATTTTTCAATCTTTAAGTCGGATGATTTTGGAAATTGAACTTTGTCAGTTTACTCATACTCGGACACAGCAGTATCTCTGTATTTGTATGCTTCGTACAAAAGGAAGTGGTAATACTGTATTACTCATTGTACTAAGATATGGATTATTTATTATAGGTAAAGAATACATAAATAATTTCTTCCTAACAATAGCATGTAATTGTACAATAGATTTTTAGCAAAAAATTGTCTGATTTCCAGATCCTCGCTAATATTAGAATTTACATTCTGCGTTCCAGCAATTCTTGGAAATTAATTTTTCGAACTTGCAGAATAGATTTATTTTGTATAATTAATACCAGGGGTAATTGACGCCGATATGTTTATATGTAGTACACCATGAGATTTAACATATCACATAAAAAAGGATAAAAGTTTTCGTGAAATTGTACCATTATTAGCATTAATCATAGCAGATATTATTAAAGAATATGAAGAAGAAAATCGCATCGAATATAACCAGTTAGCTGTTGCGACCTCTTTCAAAAGTGTGTACTTAAAATGTGTCGCAAAGAGTAAGCGATGGCGAGTATACTTGTCAAACACAGCTAACTGATTATGAAACAAAGAGGTCAACCTCTTTTTTTACTAAAACTCTATTGTACAATTAAATGTTAGCGTTAGGAAGAAGATGTTTACGTATTTCTATGCTGCGATAAATGATCCACATTCTTGTATAATACGCGAGTAACTGCAAATACTACTTTTATTCTTATGCTGCTACACCTATGCTAAGTACAATATGTAGGAACACCATCTGTTTGTAAGCACATAAGTTTCACATCGGGTGCGTCTATGAATAATTCTTTTACAATGCCATTCACGGTAGCCATGGAGTATCTTCTACTCCTGGTGCCTCCCAATTCCGGGATATCCACGTCCATTCCTATGGCTTTGGTATATGATGCCGTGGGATCTGCCAGCATCCTCACCTAAATTTCAACGAATCTTCTATCTTATACTATACTTAAGTGAAAGTCGCTCTTATTACTTTCATACAGAAAATTATGTTTCAGCTTCGGAGCCAATAACCCTACAAATCTTAGAAAGTCATTATCATTCATTGACGTCAGTACCTTATCATTTGCTCCTTTGGCATTTCCCCAAGCAGACATCACGAATGGATCATTCACAGACACGCAGATTATCTCTTCAAAGCCAAAGAATTTCAGGTTTGTCGATCTGAATTAGCAAACAAGTTTCTGTTACAAAATTAAGTGAAATTATCGCTCGTGTTCTGAAATTCTTTTTGCAACAGTCAAAAGTCACGATAATAATTACAAGAGAGTTAACAGTTATGCCGAAGACGTTACTTTTCGATAAATCCTCTGAGATGGACCCTAGAACATCCTGGAACGAAAGCTCCAGGGACTCCAAAGATGATGGCTTTCTTATTAGCAACCAGATCCAGAATATTTCTTCGATTTTCCGGTAGAGCTTCGTATAAGATCACACTGGGCAATCTGTCGCCTTTTCTAATTGCAGGCATTTCCGCGTAAAAACTAGGACAGTTCTGAACTTCGCCTCTGATTTCAGAGTGATTAGGAACACGTGAAATAACTATCGATTCATTTGTTCAACTCGACGTCCTCGATTCTCGTAAACGTGGATGGGCTGAACATCTAACGTATAAATTCGTTTCTGACTTCATCGCATTTCATTGTCCATTGAAAAGATCGATTGTTGTCGTAAGTACGATAATTTTAGAAGTTGGCATGTTTACAGGAATCAGTGGATCGATCGGGGAATTTCTGCCAGCGACAGACTAGATTTGGATTCACGAAAAAGAATTCAACCCGCCATTCGTTTCTTGGCTCGAATGTATTCGTTGCTTGTTAGATGGATGACGCAACTGCTATTGAATTACCATAGACATTAGAAGATCGAGTTATCTGTGGTCATAGTCGTTCCACAGCGTTTGTTTTAACCGAATTTATTATCTGTTAATCGGCTCTTTAAAGGTCTACGGTCTAAAATTAGACCATTATCAGGAAATACAGCGTGGCAGTTTTGCATCTTACTATTCTATTCTTCTCCAGTTCTTTTGTTTGGAATATCGTAGCACGAGACTAGATCAATTTGAAAAGAGATAAATTCCTGCAACTTTGGATGTAAATATCGAATTGTTTTTTTTCAGGAGGATATTCCTGGATTTTTTTTTTTTGTTTTTTTAGTATGTTTTCTTAGCTGGCACGTTGCGTTGGCGGTCTAAGCATCGCTTCTCCAAAGACCATCTTCGAGAAACAGACTTTAGGGAGCCAGTAAATTAGCTCTTGAAGAGGGCTCAGACAGTCGCAGTTCGCCCCACACGTACTGATCGGATTAAAGACACGTGCATTCATTTTTCAGGTTTCGTGGCATGCACGTTGACAAATCCTATTTGGTTCGTGAAGACCAGGCTGCAGCTGGACCATCGAACAAACAAAATCACCGCGATGGGGTGTGTGCAAAGGATATATCGCCAATCGGTACGAAAATTCTCTTCTGAGGACACTCCTCGTTCCATGAGACATGTCATATTGGAACATCTTGGAAGATTTTTTTTAATCTATTATACCATTGCAATGATCAGTAGCGTATCATCGGAAAGTTTCCCCACCATCCACAGTCAAACACACTGGTACACGGTCTGTGGTCGACACTGTTGCATCCTGAATCATCAATTCACTGATTAGATAGTCTCTGTAATACTATAGGGGTAATGAGCTCTAAACCACATGTTCCTGACATCGGACAGGGGAGCTATATTAACTGTATTCTGATTTTAGGAAGCAGGGTATATTTAAGATTGTAGATCCCTCTTGGGACTGGAAGAGCAAGGATGAAAGAGTTTAATAGTATGCTCTTGAGGCTGATGATTGTACTTATAAAGAACGGAGAGTACGTGGTGAATGCTATACAACAATCTTATTTGTTTTCTTTAAATTAAAACTGGTTCTGAGGCTTAGGAAATGCGAGACCTTAAACCTGTTGTCGATCGAAAGTCAACATAACATAGTGTCGCAACTGTCACGACATACAATGTACAACCCGATTCGGTAGCCAACGATATTTTTACGACTATAGATGCATAGGATCCGAGTGCCAAATATATCTGGATCTTCAAGATTTTCGGCATAATTCATTACAGAATGATAAAATCGCGTATCGTTATCTAGAACCATAATTTAAGTAGGAGCTCTTCCAACACTTACTATAATGTAAACAAAATTTATTTAGCATGTCAAATCGTGGTGTCATTTTCGTATGGTTTGATTACGTCTCGCAGACGTCGCATTTGCATCGCAATTGCAGCAGAGCCAATTCTAAAATTGTCCCTACGAACTACGAATAGTTAAAATGCGCCGAAAATATCTTTTAGATGAGAAAACAACGTTTTTCTTTATGGCAAGTAATCTATTAGTTCATACTGCGTCATGCTGTCGGGCTTTTTGTAGCCGGCGTCTAAGTTATGTTAGTATTGTTTTTTTCGTTCAATAAAAAGAAACTGGATCTGTTGTTACGTAAAAAGGAACTAATAATATTATGTATGAAGCATACACCAAAGCGTAAAAAAACTATAAGTTTTAATAGAATTCAGCACTTTGGCTACTTATCATTAAAAGACTGGACGAAACAAGAAAATTCTCATAAATAATAATCGCGAGAAGAAATGAACAGTTTGTTAGAAATTATAGGGGGGGGGGGAGATTCTAGCAATTTCTATGGTGCAATATTACGTCGCCATTTATATACTTTCGCTTTTCTCTCGCTGTGATCGCACAACACGCGTATACATGCAGCGATAAGGTTGATTAGGTAGACAGTTTTCTACGATAGAATCCTCCGTTCATAACCCACGTCTTTCCATTCTAGCTTCTCTACGTCTATTTGTATTATCATATCTGTTAGCGAGTTCCATTTTCGCCTATACTATATTGTTCCTGAAAATCAGAGAATTTCATATTCAAACAAAAAGGTCAACATTTTCTGAAGCACTTACGATGTAGATATTAATTAAATTATTGGAATATTATACTTTTACGATTTCTTTTCTAATATAAATCCAGTCAATAATTTTAATTCACGGAAAATTCCACTATCGCGTGCTTGCGAATCAGAGACAGAAAATTAGCAATCAAAAAGTAATACAGCGTGAATGGTGGCTCCTAAGGAAGGTTAATTTTGATAGCTCGATCATAAATTGTATCAAGTTATTATTCATCCTCGAAATTTAATATCTGCCTTATCTTTGAGTGCAAATATCTCTGGTACGCACTCTTCAGATAATTTCTTTATTGAGAACATAGTATGTTCCTTAATCCTTTGACAAGTTTAACAAACTGGTTGAATGCATAAATACATGTATCATGTTTTTATCGAATATTTAATTTTAAATTCATGATACTCTGATTTTCTTGAGCTTCTTACGCATATAGCGAAGCAGCGCACTCATTTTGCCAACAAATTGACCGTAACGTGTCAAGAATATACATATTTGAAAAGAAGATTCTCGTATGACATATTTACCAGTTTAAAAATAAGGAATTATTCTTTGGCTATTTAGTTACAGTTCTCATTGTTGGCAGGCTGGGTGTTTTAAATTACCCAAGACTAACAATTAACAACATCAGACAATCTCACGTTCCTTCCATAGGAAACTAGGACTATGATAAGTCTTGATGGTTGATGAAACTCGAGTTAAGACTATATATTGTATTTTCAGGGTATCCTGGGATTCTACAAAGGCATTATAGCCTCCTACGTAGGAATAAGCGAGACTGTGATACATTTTGTGATCTACGAGGCCGTGAAGGCCTCTTTAGCGACGTACAAGCCCAGCAGCGCAGACAATCGCAAAACATTGCGCGATTTCTTAGAATTCATGGCGGCGGGCTCGTTCTCAAAAACGATCGCCTCCACCATCGCTTACCCCCATGGTAAGATCGGCTGTATTGTATAATTCTGCCATCACGAAATGCAAGCTTCTGCTTTTTCCATCAATTATGCTCTATTTTTAAGGCATTGCTCAGTGAGTTGGCTGTGGTTCAAGATCAAAGCACCCAGTTTGTGCGAACTTCCTCACTCGCAAAAGCCTCTCTAGTTCTTGCAAACATCCTGCGCACTAGTACAACACGTCTCCACCACACGTGTAACTGCGCTTAATGTATCAGAATCTCAAAAAGAGGACTAGTTGCTTGGAGAAGGAATACATTTATTTTAATTATTTTAATAGAACAGTTTTAGTATCAATTAACTTCCATTTCTCCTGACAACGAGTTCCTAAAATCAAAGAAACGATCATTCCAATTTAAGCAAATAACTCTGACGTGGTTAAACTAAGATATAGTAATTAAAACAATTTGAACTGTTCCAGAAGTAGCAAGGACAAGACTTAGAGAGGAAGGTACTAAGTACCAGGCTTTCTGGCAGACGTTGAAGACTGTACACGCTGAGGAAGGATTACACGGTCTATACCGTGGTCTCGGTACCCACCTAATTAGACAAATTCCAAATACGGCGATTATAATGGCAACATACGAAGCGGTGGTATACTTGCTAAGCAGGCACTTTCACGAACAGGCGATGAACATGAGCAACGGCAATGAGTCCAAGTTCTACACAGAACCGAAGGGTAAACGAGAATTAGCCTAGGACTTACTCACGGCCCCTGAATAATGGGCCAACAGCTCGCATCTTGTGGCGAGTTTTGAAAAAGTTACGTCTGTTTCGAAAAAAAGAAAATGAACAACAAGAACAACAATGCCATTCAAGAGAGCGTCCAGACGTTGGGAGAAGCCATTCGGACACGCGTTCCCGAACTTGGGGACCATGATGGCCAGGTCCAATTGAACATATGGAAGGTAGCAAAATAGGTATCACAGCGCTGCTGTGTGGTCTGTAAGCGTAGCAAAAAGTAGTCCTTCCTCCTTTCAGGTAGCGTACGTACGTACGCGAGGAACAGCCTAAACTGTCTGTCTGTACCTTCGTCGACACATTCATACACACACACGGAGGCGGGGATCGTGAAGCTGGATTAAACGAGTCGGTTACATAGACTCAGAGTGCGCCGAGAGTAAGATTATGTCACCTTCTCGTTACCATTAATCTGCTAACTGGCTAACTTTCATTGTGGAAAATTGTTTTCAACAAATAATCTGTTTTGTTTCTTACAAATGTAGATATATTTTTAAAAGATAACATTAAGAATTACTAGAAGGTGAAATAATTTGATTTATCTCTTGAAAATGTGTATAATTATAATGTATCACAGTTAAATTATTAAATTGAAAATATTGATAATTTTGTCTTTTCCAGTTAACAGGTTAATGAAATGATTGAATTATGTTGACTGGCAATAACAGTAGTGCCAAAAGATCAAGTTTGGTCTCTAGTTGTTTCTAAAGACTTTTGAAACATGAGGAAAAAATTGAATTTCAATTGTAGCTTAGAAGAACTCTCTGGCCTAATTTTGTATTGATTAACTATAATTAACGTAATCTAAAAAGAAAAAAAAATGACCTCTAAGGTTAAATACTTAAAATTCATGGTCCTCGTGTTTCAGTATGGTAGAAACAACTCATTTCCATCTGATACAGTATTGCGATCTTTCTAGAGCAACATGTACACTTGATTTAAACCAAAAGTTATTGTTAAGTATGGTGTTAGAGACAGGTTGCTCTCGTCGGATTCTTCGTATCCATTTCTACTTTGTTATTAATTATCAATACATTATTCCGGTTAATGATTAAAAAAAAGTATGACTATTGTCTTGTGCTATTCTTCCCAACGAAAAAGAAAGTTAGGGAACGATATCATCATAAATATAAATTTTCAAGACGATAAGGGTAGACGATTATTGTGTTTGCTTCTATTCATATTAGAGTAGGAAGATTTATTATTATTACTATTGTTGTCCGTCATGACATAAATCACTTTTCATTATTTTTAAATAATCTTTTCATGAAGCGCTTAAACGTCGAAATTCAACTTTTTCTTTGCGTAGAAAGCCTATTTAAATAAAAACATTTTGCTATCAATTACGTTAACAATAAAAAAATAAGAAATTAAAAATGTATATAAAAATTGGATAACAGTCTTTTTCTGCATGTAAAACTTGTAAAACAATGAAGAGAAAAAATTTACTATATTGAACATGTCAAATATTACCGATCGACAATTTCATAAAATCATATAATAATCTAGAAGTTGTGTATATAAAACAGTAAATCACATTCTATGTTACATATATTAGTAGATTTGCGACTGTTTGTATTTTTTCGAGTATACTACCGCCTCCAGTCAAGATAAAAATGATATAGTAAAAATGTTTCTTCTCTTTCTGCAATGTTTAGGGGGAAAAACATTTATAGCTGCTATCCTGTTTTTTGAATCGGTAATATCTATATAAACTATGCACTTAGAGATATATTATGTCGAAATATATTGTTGTTAAGAATGATGATTCGTTGCAGATGAGATAAAATGTTAAAGTCATATGTATATTATATACACACATATGTATATGTACGTAAGAGAGGATTAACAATGTTTTATTACTGAGAGATATTTTAATGTTCGTAAGTTCGATTACGTTTGCGAACTAATACCGTTCAATATTAAAAACGGGAGTGTAACGTAGCTTCTTAATTTTTATACTTTTCTTGCCTTGATGTTACGAACTAAGATTCTAATTTGTTTCTTAGTTTGTACCGTTTTGTAAGATGACGATAATTCGATGGCTCAGGTTTTTTGAAAACTAGTCTAAAACTTTTTTCATAAGTACTATTTTTGTATTTGTGTCGAATCGATGAGTCAGAGCTAGGAGAATTGTACGCTAAGATTGGCACTGAGTAAATTTGGTTTGTCTCTGTTCGGTTTATGATGATTTCAATGATCAGTAAAGATGAAGAAGCTGTGATTTTTAATTTTCATATATTATCGGCTGAGTTTGGTATTTGGGAAATTATGTTTTTACTCCGAAATATGTTATTAAATAATTTCTTTGTTACTCTAATAAATTGATATATATCCTTCATCATCCGAATTTTAAAGTACAAACAAGTAGAAAAATTCATGCTCATAAGTCTTGTTGGAGAAGACTGCATTAGTTTTTATTGTATTTAGTATGACTCCGGAATTGTAGTAATGAGAATGCCGATATACAAATTGTTAAAATGAAATATATATATGTATACACATACATATATGGATCCATCAATAAAGTCAACGAATAATATTTTTGTATTCTTGAGTGTATTTTAAAGCTTACATTTATACATCAATGTAATTATAATTATCTTTAGCTCTTTACTCCGCCTTTTCTTCCTTTGTAACCACTCCTACCAGATGTACAGGCTGAGCAGGTGCAAGAAACTGGCACAGCCACTTGTTTCTTGAATGTTCTGTAGTTTTCACAAGTCAGTTCAACAACTAGAGGTTTATACTCTGTTGGTTGACAACATTTGCAATTAGCTACTTGATTCCAATTCTCTGCAATTAAAAAAATAATATAATTATACAGTAGTTCTGGTATAAATTATATACTGTATTTGTTAAGACTTGCCTGTGTCGAAATAGGTGGTGGATTCACATTTACCACGACATTCTGTGACTCCATCAATGGGCTCTAAATTCTTGCAAATGCCATGTCCTCGATGCTTAATGTTAAACATACCAATAGTATTCTGTAGCTCTAAGACTTCAGCAGCACAAGAATCAACCTTTTGATTATACACTGACAAATTGCACATTTTGCAACAATCCTGTGTGTAAATTGAGGTCACTGGACAATAAGTTATATCAGGACAGACTACAGAACTGCTGCTGATGACTAGTTGTTCTCCTTGATTCATACAAGTAAATGAAGTACAATTATCAGTAGAAAACCAGGTAGCACCTGGCTCATATAACATATCCCCAACCACGCAATAAGCCTGCCTACATTTTCCACAACATTCAGCCTCGTTCATTTCATATACCCAGCCAAGAGTACAATTTTTATTGCAAACTTCTATGTCTTTGTACTTTGTGACAACATCGTTCAACACACAGAATTCTGTAGTACATTTATCATCCAATAATTTCCACTTCTCTCCCGGTTTATACATGGTACCATTATAACGGCAACCAGTTTTAATAAACTGTGGACAACACTGGCCTGCGATGTACTGCTTTTCTATCTCAAATTCAGCTTCTTCCCGAGCATCCATTTCTGGGCACTTCTGTGTGAAAGATTCTATATAGATACTTTCATTGTTGGACTGGCAAGCGTACTTGGTACAGAAATCGGGAGAGAGCCATTCTTCGCCCACGTTTATCGTTTTATTGTTGACTATACAAGCTACTGGAATGCATCGTCCACAGCAAGTGGTGCTCCTATTATTCGTGGGCTGGTACTCAAAGCCAGGATCACAGGTTGTGATACATTCTTGGACCCTCACTTGTTTTTGTATCCCATTTTCATCCTTGATACACTTTATTAAAGTGCAACTGTCTTCAGGATTTGGTTGCCAAACATCACCAATATTGTATATCTCATCTCCATCCTTGCAAGCTGTTCTCTCGAAATTAGGACAGCATTTATCCTCTACAAGAACTTCTTCTACGACAAAGTCAGATATATCTGGATGGTCCACTGCTTTGAGACAATCTGTAGTAAAGCACTTCGGTGTGGGACCCGTTTCAGAAAATTCACAGATACAGGAAGTGCATTTTCCATCCATCCACTTTTCACCAAGCTTCTTCGCCACTATATGTTCCGACATTTCTATCTTACTCTCTGATTTAACATTATACAAACATAAATCTTTTGGTGGAACACACTTGTAAGTGGCACAGCAAACGTCCCACTTTACATCAGATTTCAGCTCATGATATTCTGGACAAGATGGTGCTGCAGGACAAGTCTTAGAATCACAGATAGTCATAGATCTCGGACAGCAACCAGAAGTGTTTGTCACCTGCACGAATCCAGGTTCCAGCTCTTCGACTTCTAGTGCGACTTCGTTGAGGATAGGACATTCTGATGGTGGCACACATTCGCAGATGTATTTCTTGCATCCATCTGAATCTACAGATACCTTTACAGTTTGCCCATAGCCACACTCTGGAATTTGAGGTTCTTCAATGCAGAAGGGTGCCACAGTGGTTACTGTTTTTGGAATACAAACATATTTAGTACAACAAGATTCCTCTGTCCCATTAACCACTACAGGTGCCATGTTCTCTTCACAGATAGTGTCTATTGCTGGACATTCGGTTTTCTCGCAATTAATGCTCTTTCTATTGCAAGTGCACCTTGTGCAAACATCTGGGAACCATATGTCACCTTCAACGTGTCCTTCTTCATCACATAATAAACATTTTTCCTTTGGGATACAAGTATCATTATGAAAGACGAAGTTTGGAGGACAAAAACAACCTTCTTCATAATTCTTCGAACACGCGGTACTATTGATTTCGTTGATTGTATCGCAAGTCTCCTTACAAGTAAAACCACAAGGTTGATATACCAAGTCTAAAAACAAGATAGTATTTAAGTGATGAAATTTAATATAGATAAAAAAAAGAAACTTACGTGGAGGACAGAAGTGAGGACACATTTCACTACTTCTCCAGATTAGGCACACTCCCATCTGCTGACATTTCCTTGAATATGCTTCAAAACTATCACAATAGCTTCCTCCAGAACACATACTATCTTGACAGGCCATCAAATATGGCATTGGATCAACAAGATTATGACACATGTCAAAGTCCATCGTATCTAATAATTTCCTGCATGTAGCCTGATCTGTTGGTGATAGAACGCACTTGCTTTGATTAATGGAAATACACGTATTTGTGTCTATGTTGACACCACTTGGAGATTCTGTGACCAACCAGCTTGTACCAAAATCTTGCATATTGTCCGCGACCTATTTACCAATAAATTGAGATCATCAGTTTTTTTACTTTTCTATCTTTTCTTTGTTTCCCTGCTTATTGTATTAAGAAAATGATCATACTTGGCCATCTTGTTGCTTCAAATCATCTTCTGCCTCTGCATTGCAGTTACCACAGAGACCTTCTATAGCACCTCCAAAGATGTGAGAAGGAACAGTCAAGCTAAATGCAAAGTTCGGCTGGTAGCTGATGATCTCTAGTTGAATAGAAGGAATCAGCAACAGCAGCTTCTCCGAAGGTGTTTGTTCTAGAGTCAACCAAGGTGTATTGAAGGGGAATCCGTACACTTTCGAACCATTCAATTCCACTTCGAATTCCTGGGTAGGTACACCCTCCTTAATTTTAATTACATGATCCTGGTAAAGAACTATAATCGCCTCGGTACATATTCCAGTATCGCAAATTCTATTTGACACGAGAACCTGATAAGTGTGTTCTTCATTTCCCTTTGTGTTTTCAATAATATCTCTGGAGAGAATATATGTACAATTTCCATCGAATTTCACGTTTTTTCTATCGAAGGTGATGAATTTGGAGTTCCCTAACCATTCACAAATGCAATCCTTGCAATGTATAGGAGGTACACATTTATCTCCATTGCGTACTGTACCCTCTGGGCAAAAGCAACCAGAGAAACATACTCCCTGCATTACTGGACAAGGGTCTATCTGCTGCAAGTTCTCGCAACTGATCTCACATTTGTTTCTGCAATGAAATTACTCATAGCAATATGTCGGACCATTTCATTCATTAATTTTAAAGTACCTAAAGCAATCTTTGTGAACAAAAGGCGGGGTGCAAGAGGTTGGACAATTGTGAGTGCTTCTCCAGATAGATAGATCCATAGTTAGATCACTAGCTTGACATTCAGTGATAAAACTAGTTAACAAACGGCAACGACAGTCGTTGTATGTGAAATTACTGCGCAGGCAGCTACACGTGCTCTCCATACAACTAGATACAAATTTTTCCAAATCCACAGTCTTTGAACATTCTGCCAAGGAGGTATCCTTCACTATATTACAGATTTTCCAGCTCTCTGCTTGCAAGTCGTGTGGACAGACCTGGAAAATTAAACAAATTTAGAATAAATATATTACTGATGTTAATTAACACTGTCGAACCTGTGGATCACATTCTGGTACTCCCTCCATGGCCCAACTGTTTCCAAATTCTACAGTGCTTCGAGCCTGACTTCCATCAGGCAATTCTTTATCATTCATGGAGTATCCATCGAAGTATCCGCACAAACCATCCACTCGTCGAGCCCATTTTGTGGAAATTCCTATTTTCACATTCGAATTTCGATCCCATATCACCCAAAACCCATAGTTGTTGGATAGTAAATATGTAATATCCCCTATGCTTGCTATCTTGAAGGAAGGAAAATTATTACTGATTCTAGCTATCTGCTTTTGTGTGAAACTGTAATCGTTAATGTCCACATGCATATCGGCGGGGTACAGAACAACTACATCTGCATCCAGAATCACAGCTAAGATCTTGATACACTGGCCAGTGTGTGAATCACATTGTTTTTCCACTATAAAAAGTATAATTAAGATATCTTCCTAATAAATAATTTCATTTATTAATTCTAATGAAATTATATTATAATTTTGACACATAAAAGACTTACATGTAATATACCATTTATTGGCAAACATATCTCGTGCTAGAATGTGATTGCAGATATCATATTTGTATTCCAGCTTGTCAAAAGTGCTGAATGTTCTTCCCGTCACATTGCAAACAGCTTCTATTGGTGGTGGAGGCTTACAAGTATATTTAGGACACTTCTCAAGCTTATACATGCTCATCTTTTCATAAACAACTGTGTAACCTGGTGGACAGGACACCTTTGGGCAGGTCTGAGGTACAGCCTGATTAAAAATTGATAGTATTATAGGCACACAAGTAAACTGTGCACATTCTGTTTCACTTTTAATGTTTTCATTATCTGTGTGTTTCGAATCATGATTCATAGACTTATTGAAAGAGTTCCTAAAAGAAGAGTTTGCATTAGTCATTACTAAACCAACGTATTTGAAATTTTATAACAATACCTTAGTCCTTTCGTTCTCAATGAATTCATGCTTGAAGATTTTACTTCCTTTCCCATATGGGATCTGAGATAGTGTTGCCATTTTGTAGGCGTTTTTAAAACTATCTTGTATCCCAGTGGGCAGGCAGGCTCTTGACACACGATTGGAGTAACTTCAACATTATAAAATGTTATATAGATCAAATTTTCCTCAATAAAGTTTCATAAATGTAGCTGTTTTAAATCAATTTTTCAATACCTGAAGTTGGAGTAACTGTCGTACTTTCTATTTTCACTGTAGTAATTTCTTCATGTTTTATTGTAGTCTGTGAACAATCCTTTTCATCATCTGGACAATCCTGAATCCCATTACACCATGAATTCTCATCGATACAAACGTCACTAGTTGGACAGTGACGTGTCCCACTTGGACAAGGTTTGCAAATACAATTGCAGAGTCCGTTAACCACTGGTCTCATTTCTGGCTCTTGACAAGGTTTACACTTCATTGGCTGACAGAAAGAGGTACCACCCAAGGTGCATGTGCATTCTTGACAATTTTCACCCATATAAATTACGCCCACATTGTATCTAAAAAACGTTAACCTTAAAATTCGAGAAAAGAGACTGTGTATGAAAAAGGCGCGTTGCATACGTTATATGTCCAACTACGCAAGGACATTCTTGCTGGGCAACACAAGTATCTCCATTCCACCAGAGTGATTCTGTGCATCTACAATTAACTTGATCTTCAAATGGTACTCCTTTGCACACATTGCATTTTTCTAATGTTTGTACCGTTGTTGGCGTTAATTCTAACTCTTCAGTGATTGTTTTAATTGTAGCTATACAAATTAAATGTAATAAAGAACACAGAAGCAAAATTATTAATGTCCCAATTTATACAAGAGCTACTTACTATAGGGCAAGAAGCAGCCAAGGACTTCAAGTTTGAGACCTATCTGTTTGTGCCATTTAATTGGTTGCACCTTCAGATATCTTGCATTCAATGGTTTATCAAAGTAATTCTTCTTAACAGTGTCGGAGTCAAAATTACCTAAGAATTCTCTTTCCAAGCCATTCTCATCCATGACTGGGTTCCACTGATAATCATCACTGCTGTAAAACACTTTATAAACCGTTGTCCAGGTGTCATCGCTACCCTTAGTAGCGATGCCTGTTAAATTACGAGGCTCCAAGAAGTCAATCTTTACAAATTGGTATGGATTGTCTAGTTTCGGATGCCAGATGCTCGGAGAAGATAACTTTAAATTCGGTAATAAATCAGTAGAAGAAGAGGATACTGAGACTTGTTCAGGAAAGATTAAACCATTGTCTAGCCCCATTGCATCATCACATACTAGGAAAGAAATATAGAAAATAATATGATTTTGTAATTTTATACATCTTGTTTTTATTTAAATCCAATTACCTGGTATTATGATCTTCTCTGTGATCATTGTAGTTGTTATTGGAACACTTCCTCTCACAGGTATAATGGTGCTTACCATTTCCTGGCAACCAAGCAATTCTACTTTCATGGCTATACCATTGTGCCAGGATAATGGATTGATACGAATTATTTTGGCTTCAATAGGCTTGTAAAACTTTTGTTCAACAGACTTAAATTGATCCACAGGTCCTCTGAATACTTGTGGTTCCTTTCTATCATCCATAACATAAGAAAACGAGTGACCATTTTCCGAAAATAGTACTTTGTAGCTAGTTACAAATTTATTTTCCATTGTACTGCCTTGAATGATGATTCCATAGATAGGTTCCGGGTTCTGGAACTTTATATCCAACCTAAAAATAATCAAATAATAAGATTAATCATTTCAATGGATAAGATGTAATTATGCACTTACCATTGATCAGTAGTGGTATATTCAGGCTCCCAAAATTTAGTATTCCCATTCAGTAGTGCATTTTCTGGTTGGAACTCGGAACTTTTAATACTACTAGCATTAAAAGAAACTTGATCGTTCAAATACTGAACCAAAGGAATAAAATTGTTGCTAACACAGTAAGCTGGTGGACTAACAGTACTTGACATTATGATCGTGAAAGCCTCAGTTCTTTAATACATAAAGATTATTAGTATTCCTATTATCAAAGAATTATAGCTTTTTAAAATTAATAAGTCTACTCACAAAAGTGTGGTTGGAAGAGTAGTTGCTTCTGTGGGTGGTTGGGTAATTGGTTTTTCAGTGGTTACCTTATTCGTTACACTAACGCATAATGATTTATCACAGGTGTAATAATTATTTATACACTGACAGATTTCACATTCTGATTCCTTTAGAATCGCACCAGAAATGACTGGATGCCCATTGTGGGATTTGCAGATACAGTCACTCTCGTCTACACATGTCAATGCATCTCTCCAGAACTCATTTGATGAACACTGTGGTTTATTCAATGGTATGCACCCTAATTTTTTAAATAATTCAATATTAATCTCAAAAAATTCTTTTTTTATTTAAAGTGTAATAAAAGTACTATACCTGGCACACAATCAGAAATACCATCACATTTCCCTTCCTTTATTAAGGTGTATTTATAGTAATCACAAACCTTGTTACAGTTAATAGCGCATTCGCTCCATGTCTCGCCCTCTTTACATGCTTCTGCAAAAGAATCTGTTTTTTACATATTTCTGCTCTTTTTATGGTACCAAAAATATTAATAAAATATTTAAAAACTATTAGAAAATATATTATACTGGCTGTTATGTTTTTCTGTAAGGTAGTCGATGTGATGCTCGTATATTTGGTCGTGTTATCAGTTGTCCATTCAGTCGTATTTGGCATTGTCTGTTTCATCGAACACTCTGGTCTTACTGATATAACATTAGCTGGCCAGTCACAGACTTGTATCTGAGGATTGTAAAACATGTTTTCTCCGCAGGATTTCTCCACAAATTCATTGCCATTGAGTCCAGGGGTGCATTGATAAAATAGATGACAATTTGTGGGATGAGATTCGTATGGATGTTCCATATTGCACTCTTTGTATGTAGGTTTTTTGGTTGTACTTGGTATTTCTGTAATATAAATTGACTTTATCATTAGACTAAAATAATAATCTTGATGTTTCCCTGATACAGACCTGGTCCTCCAGCGGTAGTTGCTGAACACTGGCATAAAACACTGATTTCAAAGTCGATACAAGGAAGACCAGGTTGAGATTGGCAATAAAGACCATGTTCCAAACTGCACTCGACATCCAAACCAGTTTCTTTTGGTGTTAAGTAATCATTTACTGATCTACACTTTATATCAACCATTTGGTTCTTGTTACATATAGCAGATCCTTTGTTCGCCTTTCAAAAATTATATAGTAATATAAGAGAGATGAAATAAAATAAATAAATGATTAAACAATATAATAAAGTATTACCAATTCTAAAGTTGAAGGTAAGGGTTCAATATCCTTAAATTTCTTCCCTTTAATTGCTGGATCCTGATTTATCCAAGCAGTCCAGCCATCCACACATTTCTGTGGTTCTTCTAGCGGTATAGTATTCGGCGCAGTGATAGTTGTACAAGGTTCTCCTTTGCATAACACTTTTCCACGACTACAGTAACACATCTGACAATTTTCATTCTTTACACTATCACCCTCATAATAAATTACCTACAATATGAATTATCATTAGTGACAAAAGATATTTTAATCATTTCCTCAACATACCCCATTAATTTCAGTACAAGGTGTTTTACAAGTTTCTTTGGGAACGCATTCCGTGTAACTATCATTGCTATACACTTGATTCTGAGGACAAGATTTGACCAAACATCCTTCAACGCAAGTGTCTTGAGAACATAAATGAGCTTTATCCTTTAGAGTGATAAGATTATCGCAGGTTTCACGAGGACACGTTGTAATGCAAGGAGAATACGAGCTACATTTTTCATCACATTGTATGGGACAGAGTTCTTGACTGCGCCATTTTATGGGAACTCCTTTTGCATTACATTCCTGAGCGTATGCTGCCAAGGCAGTGCATAGACATTCGCAGTCTCCTCCTAAAATACGAAAAATACAGATATAGATAAAAACTTCTCTTATTTTTATAACTTAATATAACACTCACCTGTATCACAACTACAAGTATCATAAATGCAGTTGCGCACATAACTTTCGACCTCAACTTCGGAATGACAAGGATGAAAAACTGGTGATTTTAATATTCCACACTTTTGTACAGCCCATAAGTTCCTCTCTGGATGTTGCACACAAGGATCCAAGACATCTTTCGGCTCGGGACAGAACTCGTTCTTCTTCCAGGAATCTCCAAATAGATTAGCAGACACTTCTGAGATTCCACCTGAAGGAGTTTTGAAATCATCCTTGCTATTATCATTGTAATCACCACAGAGTCCTTTTGTGTGCCCCTTCCAACTAGGCTCTAATCTTACATACACTCTGGTACCTGTAAATATCATCAAAGTTTTAAGAAAAATTCTAAAACAAGTATAAACAATGGAAAAATAGTGATCATATAGTGATACCTTTATCCCATTGTACAGTTAACCCCATATCTGGTACATCAATAAATACAAATAGTCCAGCTTCTCTCATGGAGATCCTTTTAAAATTATCCGCTGGAAGTTCCTTTCCTCTAGTTAAAACAATTCTTTCTGAGTTTTGACCACTTCCAATGGTAAGAGTGATCGATTTAGAGCAGGATGTCCCGGTTGTTCCACAGGGGACATTCTGAATAGACACGTCGAAACAGTCTTCCTGGCTCAAAGAACCTTTCACAAACACGTAATCGCATATTCCTTCGAAATCATAAAGCCTCCCATCAAATGTCTTATAATGAGAGTCTCCCCAAGCAGAACAAACTCCTAATAGAACAGAAGTTTCGATAATTAGATAAAATTGAATGTTTCATAGGGTAAAAAGACGTTTATAATGTTACCTGCACATGTCCTATCAGTGCATTTCCATGTTCCATTGATACACTTGCATGTATTGCAGTCGTTTTGTATAATAGATCCTTCTTCGTAGCTCTGACTTCCATGATGACATGAACAAGATTCCTCTTTGATGCATCTACCATCTGGCTCATCCAAAACATAACCAGGTTTGCAAATGCAGCCAGATTTACAGATTGACGGCTTCTGGACTAGTTTGTGCATATTATGACAGGTCCTAGGCTCTGCTGGTACACAGTCTGTAACTTCCTGATTATTGCTTGCCACACATGAGGCCAATAGGTCCTTGGTTGCTGGGTATTTTGTAATTTCATTTGGTGTGGCTTCCTGACAGCTCCAAATTCCACCTGTTTAAAGTAATTCATAAAACTATTTATGAAATTCAATTTAATATTAAAATCAAATATTTTTTAGATTTATAAAAGTCAATACCTGCACAGGTACAAAGTTCGAGTGCTTTATTTCCAGGTCTGACTTCTTTGTGCCCTGGACTAAACTCCAAGTCACTGTAAATGCATGGACACTGTCCAATTGGAATGCATTCCCCATGGATATCCAATGTTTCTCCCTCTGGGCAGTTACATCCCTCTACACATTCTTGTTTGCAGTCCTGATAAGAAGATATATCTCCACAAGATCTGGAAATATTGGAGATAACATTACAGATATCTTACATTTATTGGTATTTGATTAATTTTGAATTATGGCATGCCTGGTGCAACTATCTCCACAAATTTGATAAACTTGATTCCCTGGACAATGAATTTTACATTCCTCTATGTTCTGGTGCCATGAAAGCTTTATTCCAGCAGCTGCACAATCTTTGGCATATGCAGCTAACATAGGACAGAGACAGGATTCAAGTTCAACTTTACAAGAGCACATATCAAACAAACAGTCTCTGTAAAATGTATCCGGATCTACGTGCCAGTGGCAACCTAAAAAAGAGGATTATAAATAACCGAACTGGAAAATTTGTTAGACTAAATCTCGATACTCTACCAGCAAAGATATCACTGAATAAATAAGAACAATATTGCTTTGCAGTGGCTCGTTTTTGTGGATCAAGATCACAGGGATGATCCAATTCTTTGTCTGCGACATTGGGACAAAATTCATCACATTTCCATTTATTGGCAAAGGCAATTGCTGTGTTTTCAATGTCACCCTCTGGTGTAATGAAGTCGTCCTTCTGGTTCTCAGAAAATGTGCCACAAAGTCCCCTTGTATTGCCTAATAATCAATGTAGAAAATGGAAAATTTGATATAACGTTCTATTTAAATAAATTTAAAGAATAATGAAAATTAATTAACCATGGAATTCAGGAGGAGCATTAATATATACACGAGAAATTCCATCCCACCATATCTCCAAACCATTTGGCAATTGAACGATTAAAAATATACTGCTTGCAATGCGTATTCTAATTCCATGAATAAGTCTAGGAAATACTGTTAGATCATCTCCATTAATCAATACTTCCCTATGTTGCTTTAGCTTCATGCTAATGTCTTTGTAATTGATTGTGATAGTCTTCGTACAGGAAGGAGCTTCAGAAGGAATGTGTCCCATATTCTACAAATAAAATTACAATCATTTGATAATGAAATATATTAGAAAATATTAGAAATTAATAGTTTTATAAACAGACCTCCGATATTGCACCAGAACAGGGAACATTTTCACCTTCGATACTGTAATCATCACCCTTCATCAGATAATACTTGCATTTTCCCATAAAGTCATAATGTCTTCCATCAAAAGTAATATAATGGGGATCTCCTATGACAGCACACCTAGCACTGCATTTTGTTTGAGTACATATCCATTTTCCAGAAAAGCATGTACAGGTATTGCAATCCTTTTGTACACTCTCCCCAGGCTGAAACAATTTTCCACGCAGCTTGCAAGGGCATTCATCAAATTGAATGCACCTTCCTTCGTAAGCTACTGTTCCTTCCGGACAAAAACAACCCTCTTCGCAATCCATTGTATTTGGTTTCTTTTCCTCTACTGTCCAGCAAGATGATTCTATTTTTGGACCACATGGCAGGTATATTCGTCCACTGCTACATATCATGGCTATAATATCATGAAATGATAGAAAATACTTTTTTCGTCAACAGCTTATACATTAAATTAAGAAGATTCTAACTTACGACAAATGTCATCACTCCTCCAACCAGATAGAGACACAACCTTTTTATGAGCACATTGCCTAACGTATACATTCATCGTATCACAGGCACATCTTTTTCTGTCACTGTCTAAGCAAGAACAGTAATCCCATACACAGGCTGTCTGCAGCTCAGGAATGTTAAGTGTGCTAGCACAAGCTTTAAATCGGCGATCAGAAAATAGTTTTGTACAAAATTCAATGGCTTCTTTGGTAATTAATGAATCAGATTCACAGGAGTGCTTAGTGTTTGGATATTCGTCGCACATTTCTGAAAGAATTAAATGAACTCTAGATATTAATAACTAAAAAAATTTATCTTTGACTGTAGAGTAAGAAAATGATACCTCCAATATTTTCTGTCCGCCAAGAAGTAGCAAATGATGCAATACTTTTAGTATGTTCTCCATTCTTACTTATTAAATCGTCACTTTTATCGCCATTCATGTTACCGCATAATCCGGTCGTTTTATTCCACATATTTTCTAGAGCTTCAACTTGTAACATCAGAGCACCATCCCATTTCAACTGAATTCCCAAAGAGTCCAAAGTTATCACAATGAAATGTGCAGACATTTCAGCTCTCAATGCAGAGAGTTGTGCTGGAATTGGAAGCTGGTGCTTTCGAGTTCTAAATTCTGGAACGCCGTCTTCATTTCGCAACAAAATGTATTCTTTGTCCTGGATGAAAATTCTGATAATCCTGAAACAGTCCTGATTTTTGCAAGTTGGACTGTTGTCCACAGTTACAGTGAACAGTCTGTTCTGTGCTTCCTGTACTAAGATATGAGAACATCCACTATCGAAGCTGAAAACATTGTCATCAAAGGTTTTGTAGTGCATTCCACCCCATGTGAAGCAGGTTTTTGGAACTGGTTTCTTCTCTTCAATAAACAACAGGTTATTCTCCGGTGGATTAAACATCATCTAACATTAATCAAAGTATAATTCAGTAATACAAATGTTTCATATTCAATTTTAAACCGCTGGTCTTAAATTATTACCGTATTCGTGACCATATTGGATTCATGACTGCTATAATGTTGTGTGAGCCCATAATTTCCTTGTAACAATGGTAACTGGTTTGTATGGGATTTGAAAGTATCCTGGTAGGTCCAAGTATGATTAGTCTCCTTAACATAAGAATGATACGTTGTCCCCAAAGAAATTATATTCATATTATCGCCGTAGTTACATTGGGGAATTGGTTGAGGTGAAAAGACACCTGTTTCATAGTTGCAAATATATGCAGAAGCTGAAGGGAACTCAAATTCTATCCCATCAGGACATCTTATGATACATGAATAAGTATCATCAACACTTGTGCAGGAAAAGCCTCCATTAAAACCCATTTTCTCCCCATTGCAATTATCAGTAGCTATATCAGAATTATAATCAATCAATTACTTAGATTAAATAATGTTACTTTATTAAAATAAACAAATTATTATACTTACAATATTGACACTGGGGTCCTTTGAATGCTTGAGGACATTGACAAAAATTAGATGGGAGACAATTGCCACCATTCTGACAAGGTGGATCACACACAGCTATAATAAACAATCTTTATATATGTGATAATAAATTTAATATTTAAATTACAAATTGAGGATTAAAAACATACGTTCACAGTCAGGTATGGAGACCCAGTCTTCCCTGGTGGGCTTCCAATTTCCATTCTTGCACATAAGATTAGTGACTGAGGTGCCATCCGGGAACGTAAAATTCTTCATACAGGATATGGTACATGATCTAATAAAACAAATATTGGAACAATTAAATATTTAATATGGATATTTTAAGTACAATATAGTTCAACGTTCTTAAGATCATACTGTGAGTTGCACTTCTTATGTGCATTAAGTACTGGAGCAGGGAAATTTAGACATGGTTTGTTCTCAAATTGACACTGTGGTCCAGTGAAGTCCTCGGGACAATTGCATTGATGGGGTGCGACACATATTCCGTTGTTCAAACACTCTGGTATACAAATTGCTGAAAATATAAAAATACATTTATCTTGCGCATATTATACTTTTTACACCAAAGAAATTGATCATCTTCGAATAAAACTCACGTTCACAGTGAGGAATAGAGTCCCAATCTGTGCCATAAATATGCCATTCCTCATTCATACATGTTATAGCTAATCTTGTTACTCCGTTTGGAAATTCGTAATCACGTTTACAAGTTGCAATACATCCACTATAAATAAAAATTGGTAAATATTCAGATGTAACACTTCAAGATATCATCTATTAAACAATAAAAAATCACCTGTCTATAGAGCAAATTATTTCACCATGTATGGGTGGATCTGGTTTCTTACTGCAACCTCCTGGAAATATAGGCAATTTCCTTTTACTCTTTGTGCTCTTCACACTCTCATAGACATGTTTTAGAGAGTCATTTAGTGAGATAGTAGCGCTGAAGAATTTAAATATCAATTAGATTTAGTCTTAAAAACCCCGAGAGAAAGTAAAGAATCACTTACTCTGTTATAGCAGAAAATTCCGATAGATTATCACCGATAATTAGTTGATTACAGATCGTAGTAATTATAGCAATGTTAAGAAATGCTTTCCATAGCACCATGTTGAAGTATCTACTTTTATAACATGCTTGTTAAAAAGAAATGCTTACATGAAACGCTATTCGCAAGTCTTCTCTTACCAAATATACGAATTAATACATTTCTTCTTTTATATAGCCACCTCCAGGAGGAAGCGGATAACCGATAACTGAAATCTTACTTGATAAATTAATTCGACGAAATAATATGTCATTAGTGGGATTTATATCGTGTCAAGGATTCATGCCTGGGATTCGTGAATTAACAAAACTTTGCTTCTAAAAAATTACACATTTATTATTACAAAATTAAATGATTTACACGATAATTATCAAATGAGAATAAGCATTAAAATGTATATATATGTATATTATCAGGTACTCTAATAGTTTACTTACAGCTAAAAATAATTCTTTAGAACACCTGGCATATCCATCTTCCCTAGCCAGAGATAAATCATTCACATAGAAAAGCATAAGGATTCATTGTTCCAGTATTCTTAACATATATTTAAAATTGGAGTTGTGATTTGATTAGCGAGGTCGTTACAAGCGTTAATGAGTTCTTAATTAGTCAGATAAGGCAACAATGGCGTAACTTATCAAACAACACTACTCCGTCATTCCCACATTTGTCATATCAATATAACTCATTAATAAACTGTAAAACCTGATAACCATTTCAAGTTTTTAACAACATCATTCTATAAAAATTCAATGTTTATTCACAATCAGTTTCAAACAATTTCAACAATTATTAAACTATCTAACATCGATAACATTATTGTACTTTAAAATTATTAAAATATGATATTACTTGATATAAAATATCTTTAAAAAATCTTCAGTCAGTATAAAACATATAAAAATTATATATGAATGATTTATTTAAATTTATCTCAGTCATTAGCCTGATAATTTTTACTAATTAATTGTCCTGGTTCAGAATATTTTGCATGCCATATCTCATAGTACACCTCGCTAGAAATGTTATTTAAATTTGTAATATTAAACTCTTCTTCCAACGCAACTCTCCAGACCTGAAAATAGAAATATTTAGTTAATTCTAAGTTCTTTCTTATCATAATACATTCATAATAAAATAATAATCATACATCCTTGTCAGATATGGATATTGCTGCTTTTCTACTTCCAAAAACAGCTTTCCTCTTTAAGACATGAAAATGATATAATAAATAATTCAATGTGTGCATTTTTTCTGATTCTCCTACATTAAAAGTAACAGACATAAATGAGCAGCATTCGTTTTTTACTGGGTATAATGCACGAGTCCAATAAACACCAGTCTTAACACCACCCCATAATAAAGATTGCAAAGAGTATCCATGAAAGGTTCCCCTTAAATACTGGTCCCTTGTATCAGAAGGATAAATTCCCATAGAAGCCAAATGTTTAGCTGAAAACAATTAAAAACTGCAGTTTAATTATAGTTTTGTAGATAAGGAATATCAGGAGTGATAAAAAATTTACCGAGATAATAATCTTCCTGTTTCCAATATTTGCCACTGATTGCACATTTTTCTGAGTTATCAAACATTTTAATTAGCTTCCTAAGCACTCCCACACTAATTACATATCCAGCATCAGCTACATTATAAGATTGACCCCAGAGAGTAACTGCATGACCCAAATAATGATTCTGAGTGTGATTTAATGGGCCAAGCATGTACCGCAAATTTTCAAGAACCACTAATGTGTCATCTTTTACAAAGATAAGCCATTCTAATGTTTCACTGCTCTTCCACACATACTTGAAGGCTTCACATAAAAGTTGCCATGAAGATACTAATTTTATATCAAAATTTATAATAGGCATTTTAGGATCTTTCACTTGACCAAAGAAGTATATCTTGTTACAATGTTTTCCCCAAGTATCCTGGATAGATCTAGCCAATTTAACTTTTTTTACAAATACAATACAAGTGATGTGAATATTTGACTTCAACCACTCTGCTTCTGATTCTTCCCTACTTTCAGGTCCATAAAGATAAATATCCATATCAATATTTTTTGACCTCAGTTTTCTATTATTCAACCATTTACTATATGTCATGTTTGTTGAATCTTTCCAACTCTGTATAACAGTCTCTTGCTTGATCCATGTATCAGACATGAACCATTTAAGATCATTTCTGTTTGTAGAGTACAAATTTAATGATGATTTCTGACAAATGGAAATATTGTTAAATAAATCTTGAGCAGCAAATAAGATCAGGGCAAGGAGAGAACCGATTCCGAATCCAATTAGAAACACAGGCCACAGTTTAAGACGGTAGAGATACATCTTATAGTTTTGACACTGATCTGTAATACTGCATTTCTATCATAGAGCTTTTTCCTCTGAAATAGCTATGATCTAATAACATTAATTGACTCTCGTTGAACTCGCAAATGGTTGATTGCATTAGATCATTCCAATCATAAATTCTGCATCTTATAAATCATATTTGTGTCTAAAGGATCTACAAATAAAAATAACAAGGTATGTGTTATTATAAAAGTTATAGAAAAAATTGTTTAAAATATATACTTACATTTATTTATATTACTTACTGATAAAAAACGATCGAATGCGCTAAACGGCCTGATATTATGTAGATTTTGTTATTTCATAAATATTGCTATTTTCTTGTAATTTTGCAATTTTATTAATTTTGTATAACCTTTCGTTTATGTAACTGTATTAAAACTGAACGATATAATGAATTAGGTCAACAGGTGGTGTTATGTACCTAATACATTTGAACATAACCAACTAGTAATATGTTTTCCAAATAAAATATTTCATATCTCAATATTTTTTCTGTAGATAATATTTGATGTAAAATAAGATCACTGTTGTCTTTCAAAAATTATTTTTTACATATAAATTTTTATTTCTAATATTATTCTCTATTATTAGCATTGATATTATTTCGAAACAATTAAAAAAATTTATTAAATGGTAAAGGATAATAAAAGAAGTTTTTCTGTTACATGTTAAGGAAGAACTATCTTTATTTATTATTATCTTTATATATATTATAGAAAGGTTAAGCGCCTTGTCTTTACAATACGGAATTATAAAACATAGTTTTATATCTAGAAAATGTAAACGAATTATTTTAACGCGATGTTTAATATCTAGTTTTAGCATTCTGTCTGCCAGGTACTGAGTGAAAATGTTTGTATTATATGCTGTAGAATTATATACGATATGCTTAATAGTATTTCACAGTAGAATCTTTGAAAAGTAAATAGAGATCTATTTGAGAGTTCTGTTATGTGGATAAAATACAATTGTATCGCTAATTTTAGTATTTCATTATAAATATCATAAAATTTATAAATAGGAGTTTTGAGCTTTGGAAATTGGAATGTGAATTTTAGAGAAATCAAACACAAATTTCAATTTCTTATAAACTAGATTAAAAACTGACTTTACCACGAATTTTATAGAAACCTAATCCATTTCTGTTATGTACTAAGGCACCTACACCAAAGTAGTTTTCTATGATAATAAGACCATTTCTTATAATGCAGTCTGATGGCAAGAAATCTTTAATCAATGACTGTAAACCTTCAACATTAAACCTTGCTTTCTCTACTTCTGATCCTACAAATAGCATCAAAGTTTTACAAATAAGTAATTGATATAATTGAACAAATAAAGTAAATTTACCTTTGTACCAAAATAACGGATGACTAGCATAAGTAAGCCATGGTATATCCTTTGCAAATGGATTCCATTTCTTAGTTAATGGTACTGGATTGCCTTTATTCCACATCAGTCTTATCCCAGACATGTGCCTTTTTCTGGAAAGTCAATTTTAATTTTATACAGTAATTACAAATGAACTACTATCAGAATTACTATTATACATATAGCAATATTTAAAAATAAATATATATATACTTGAAACTAGACAATAAAACATAAGTATTACATTATTTATCAAAGCAAAAGTCTGCAAGCATAAGTGTGAATATTAACTAAACGAAATAAACAGTTCTATTATATAATTTGCATTTCACTTAAAATGAAATTATTTGAAGGTGCCTACATGTATTTAACACATACAAGAACGATAATACTATTAACAGAAATCAATAAAAATGGAACAAAACATTCTTTTTTTTTTTTAAATAATTGTCTCTGTTCTATGTAATAGCTCAGTGTACCTAGGTTCAAACTGTGCAAAATCTGTACAAGAGACAAGAGTAGACCACTCTTGACGGCCTGCGTAATGAAATATTGACGATACACCCTCTGCCAATCCATTTAATCGTCTAAAAATCGTTCATAAATTTGTAAACAATACAAACTAACTGTGATTCATTTTTCACCTATAATTAGATGGTAATTTTTATTGTGAAAACTTCACGATGATACTTACGGCGCTAAAGACGAAGGAGGATAAACTAATTCGCCCGAGACGAGCGTATCAATTTGCAACAAAGGTATCCGGTTGTACTCTAATATCTTTAAGGAGATGAAGTCATACTTTATTGAATAAATAGCTTTTTTTGAAAGTATTACCAATCTTTCTTTCTCAATATCCCACAGACTTATTCTACAAATATGTCCTAATATTAATCGTCATATTATATAATAATAAAACAAGATGTATATACATTAAGTCTCCTACTCTGTCAACAGCCAGCTTCCAATAATATCGTTTTCCTCTTCATTTATTAAACTCTCTTGGCAATCTTTTAGTGCTCTGTCAACAACTTCGTTTCTGTCAGAGAAAAAAGAGTGAATATCTATATGTTTGAAAGGGATATTAGACAAGTCCTTCGATGATGGAACTTCACTTGAAGTATATGTCTTATTCTCTCTGTTCTTCTTTGCAGTATCAGCTCCTTTTTATTAACAATTACAAAAAATGTTTTTAACACGTTAATCTCATTAAGATATTAAATAGAAAAACATTGTGACTCCCAATATGTAAAATACCAACCAACAGGAACAGTGTTTTGACTATTCAACTCATTGACATCGAGTTCTTTGGTAATTTCTAGCGTAGCTGTTTCAAAATTTCCCGCGGGTCCTTCATCGAAATACGTTTCATCCATCGTTTATAGGTTATGGCTCTCCTGTCTGATCAAAAA